CTGGGAACCCGATCTGGGCGGGATTAGGAGAAGGCATTGGGGACAGAGGGGCCTGAAGACAATAGCTGCCCCACCCCCAGGGGCTATTTCGGGGGAATGTCATCGACAGGAAGACAGGGGACATCTCCTAAAAAGGGTCTGGCCTGTGTGTGTGGGGAGGGGGGGAGGCTGCTGGGAGAAGACACCCAAAGGCCAGGAGGCCGAGGTCCCCTCCCACCCCTGACCCCACCCCTCCCGTCTGTCTGGGCTCTTCCCACCCGTCTCCTCCACCTTCACCCCCAGCCTGGGGGGAGGCAGGGTGCCCCAAGAGCAGCGTCTCTCCGCAGGCCTCACCCCTAAATAGACCCCCCCAATCCCTGGCACCCCCTGGCCCTGAGGTGCCTAAGCCCAGTGCCCACAGATCCTGACTCGCCCAGTGTATGGCTCACCAGGCCCGGCCTGGACTCGGAGACTCCGGTTTGACACCTCCTGAGCTCTGAAACCTCGCGATCATGAGACCCCAACACCCGTGCCCACCTCAGAGCCCCAATTCCCCACGCCCCTGATGATGACATGAGAGGTTCCCCCCCTCCAGTCGCAAGAGCACAGACCTTGACCCCTCAGCTCCTAGAACCCGGTTCGAAACCCCTGTCCCTGACCTTCAGGCCATTGGACTGACATCCAAGCCCAGACACCCCCAAGCTCTGAGATTCCCTGACTCCGGCTTCCGAGGACCTAAGGTTATTTTCTGGGACCCCCCCATCTAAGCGCCCCCAGATTCTGTGTCCCCCAAAGGCTCATCTCCAGGCCCCTCCGCCTCATGCCTCGCCTCCCACCCTCATCGCAGGAAGCCTTACCTAGGGCTGGGTCTGCAGAGGCATAAACGTGAGGGGCAGCTGCAGCACCCCTTTTATAGTGAGCTCAGCCCCGCCCCCAGGGGGAGGGAGAATTCCTTTCCCCAAACACTAGTCCCCCCAGCCCCCCCAGGCTGCCCCGCCCCCACTCGGGCTCCATGTCAGTGACCCAGGCCCTGCTGGCTGTTGAGACCCTTCTGCACCCCATCAGTGCCTCCTGGGGCTCAGGGCTGGGCCAGGCACCCCGTGCTCCCCACCGCCGGGAGGAGGCACTACCCGAGGTGGCCCTCTCTGTTTTGCAGTCCTGGGGCTTAGCACACAGAGGCCCTTGGAGAATGCATTATTTTAAGAAATATATTTTTATTGATTTCAGAGAGGAAGAGAGAGACAGAAACATCAATGATGAGAGAGAATCATGGATCGGCTGCCTCCTGCACGGCCCACACTGGGGATCGAGTCGCAACCCGGGTACATGCCCTTGATCGGAATCGAACCCCGGACCCCTCCGTCCGCAGGCCGAGGCTCTATCCACTGAGCCACACCGGCCAGGGCGCGAATACATGTGGATGAGGGGTGCGCGGACGGTTTCCCTTCCCAAGGCTCCTGTCCCCCTTTCTGTCTCCCCGTCTCTCCTTTGTCTCTGTGACTCTCCACTGTGTGTGTCTCCATCCATCTCTCTGGCTCCCCCTCCCTCCCCGCCCCCACCCTTTGTCTGACACCGGGATTCCACCCTGGTGACAACAGGCGCTAAAGCAGGGAAGCAGGTGTGCGTGGGGGGAGGGGCGAGGGAGGGGTGTCAGGCCCGCACGACCTTATTCCCTCCCCCCGCC